AGCTAAATCCCCAGCCCATATTTATATATTTTTATGATGCTTATCTCACCTCTAGACCATGGCTTAAATTAAATTTTCATCAGTTATTATCTATACTAACAATATTAGGTAAATATTAAATTATCAAATTGATACTTTTGGGGGATGACCTTGAAGAAAGAGTAATTTCCATAGAAATTTGGGGAAGAGAGGAGCAGAAGAACTATGTAGGAATTTGACCAAAGTAATGAATGGTAATGGTGCATGAAAGATCAGTTTCAGAGTGGATTCTTTTCATTTGATTTTGCTAGAAAATCTTTGAGCACTGCAGTTTTGGGGATATGGTTTTGTCCTTAAGATTAGGATAAAAATATTAAAGACTGATCTTGAATATTCAATAATCTTTCTCCTTTGTGTTCTCAAGATCTTTGTAGATACTTTAATTGCCTTTGGCTTGCCCAGAGTTTATAATGATGGCAATTCCCCTTTAAAAACATCTTTGGCAAAAGTGCCTTGGTTGTTGAGGTAAACTAAGAATCATGATTAAAATGAGAATCGATAACAAATTCTCTCAGGTATTGTGCTTTAGATATGCAGAGACAAATTTTAATACTGTCACTACAGAAAGGGTCTATAATGAAACAGTCTTTGGATTGTTTCTCTAACATCGTGCAGTCAGTACCCAAGAAACAATAGGGTCAGATTAAGAAAACATAGTAGCAAGGATTCCTAAATTAAGGTGCTACTGACTTTAAAGAAATAAGAAAATAATTTCCTTTTAAGGTGTGCCCTAGTGAATGAGCACCAGTCTAATGGGACCATCTTACACACTTTTCCTCAAGGTTGGTCAAGACTATGATTTATGGCATTTATATTACTACCTGAGACATTTAAAACACTCAAATAGAGACAAACATCATGAACAACAGACAGGACAATTCTATATGTTAATGAGAGAAAAATTAATGGCATATGCCATCCTCCTGTTTTTGTTTAGTTCAGAATTCCAGACTACAATTAGAGGTGCCTACCCTGTGGTCCTGAGCACAGAGGATGGAGGGAATATGCAGTTCTGTTCTGGAGTATGACAGGATCAGTACAACAGACAATAACTCCTAAAGTGTTTTCAGTAGAAGACATCCAGGCAATCATAATTCACCCTATGGAAAACAAAAAAGTGAATTCATTTAGAATTTTTGCTCAGACAAGGAAAAACCACCAAAATGAAAATGAGCTTCTCGTTAAATAAAGAACAAGAAACAATTCCAGGCTGAGTCATATTTCAGTCTTAATCCAAACAAATGTATGCTTCTACATTAACTTACTTTCTAAAGCATCCTACCGTATTTTGACTTGAGTGGAAAACATTTCAGGAATGTTTTACAGTAACAAAAAAACACATGACTGTATGGAGTCTGTATGTTTAATGGAAAGCCTGTGACCTAACAAAGGCAATATTTTTTTTTTTTTTTTGGTACCGGGGATTGAACTCAGGTCCTTCCGCTTGCAAGGCAGGCAATGGAAGCACTGAGCTAAATCCCTGGCCCAAAGGCAATATTTTTGAAGGTATAGTCAGTCACTGAATGTAAAACTTCTGTGTAAAATATTTCAAATGATAGAACATCAGAGTATGACTGCTTAGTTTTCTTTTACTAAGAAACTGGGGCAAAAAGAGGGCCCACAACTTGCCCTACTTCACACTGCCTACTGGAGACATGGATCTGAACTCCTTCCTGACCCCAGGTGGTGATTCACCTGCTTATACACCATTGCATCCTTCAGTCTAGAGTGAAAGACTATATAGAACTATAGTCTATTGAAAGACTATGTAGAACCTACATAGTATGTACGCCACTGTACCATGATTAAAAGCCACAGGACACTCCATTTAAGAACCACTAATGATATCAAGCCAGTGGTGTATACAAAGATTTAGAATATATGAAGTTCAATTGATTTCAGATTACCTGAATGAATTCTAATAGTGAAATTTATATATATATATATATATATTTTTTTTTTTTTTTTCTCTGCTTGAGCACTGACCTCCATAACATCAAACACATTTCCTCACCCATAAACACAAACACAAATGCTTGCCTACCTTTCATCACAAGCCTGGCCTAGGAGTCAAGTAAGGTGGAAAATCACTATAAGCTATGTTTGAGGCTCAAACAACTAAGCTGCAAAAGGACACGAGAGAATGTTGGATTGTTCAAAGTTATGTGAGTTCATGGAAGCACCCAAGAATATTCTGCATTTGGCTGCTTTTCCACTTGGGTGAGCAGGCTGCTGCAACTATTTTGGGTTAAGGCTGCTGTGGTTGAACGCAGACAAGGCCTGCGGGTCTCACTGGGAACCACTGGATGACTGGAAAGGGCTATTCCTATTGAGCTGAAAAGCAGGATTGTGAAAAAAATGACCTATCTCTGTCTACAACTTTAGTGTTTTGTTCATCATGGGTGTTTCTTGTACTAATTTTGACCATTTAAAAACTATTGCATGAAGATATATTTATTTTGATTATTTAACTTCTGCTCCCCCTCATCTCCAAATTCTGGCCCAGATTATAATTTGGGAGAACTGGGAAGTTTAAGTTTAACCAAACCAATGTTTTGATTAGAGCAAAGCAAACAGAAACTCATGACTTTTATATCAACTAAAGAGTAGGCTTTTTCAAAAGAAAAAGAAAGAATTGCTGTCCTAGAACTAAGGTATGCTAAGGAAGGAAAATTGCAAGTTTATGTACCACCTAGGGAACTTAGTGAAACCTTGTCTCAAAATAAAAAATAAAAAGGGCTGGAGATGTAGTTCAGTGGTAGAGTGTCTCAGGTGTGAAGAAAAATGCTGATGATAGTAGATTCTCTTCACAAATATATCTCGATTTATTTTATAATATTTTGTCTTTGTATGAATTATATCCTTTAGGAGAGTCAAATGTACAGATCAGGTTCTCCAAGTATGAAAATCTGTGAAATTATAGAAGAGAACTCCCTTATCAATCACTAGTGATAACAATAAAAGATTTTAGTTCTTATTCCAAATTAACATAATCAGTGCAATCCAAGTTTAAGCTACCATGTTCAAAGTGATGAGGGGTGGTTATTATAGAGTTTTTGAATTTTTTTCATAATTTAAAATCTAGACATAGCTAAATATGTACAAGGGCTACAGTAGATGAATATTGATCTCCTCTCTCATTTTGAAATTCAGTAATTATTATTTATTGATTATTAGTATTCTAAAGAGCATGAAGACTATGGTATGGAACAAGAAGATGCTTTTTGAGTTTGTTATCCATATTGCATCCTGAATACTATTTTCCTACTAATAAGAGTAAACTTCTATTAAGTAGGGAACTATGACAGTAAGCAAGTTAGAGAAAATGGAGACCTGCAGGTGCTTATTTTCCTAAAAGTACAGAGCCATTTCATAATATTACTGTTTACTTTCTGTTTGATAGGGAACAAAATTCACCAGGTTTAAAATCAGGAGTTCTCTTTTTAATCTAAACCAACCGTGGCAACTTTTTAATGCTGGAGAATCACAACCCTACTTAGAAATCACACTATAATTTTCAGACCATCCCTATTATTTCTACAATATAATTTGAGTTCTGTACTATATTTTATTTAAGGTTTTTTTTTTTGCTATTGATTTTAGGTTCTAAAGGTGCTCCTTTTGCTTGTTTTGATGAAATAAATTCCAGAGGAGATAGATTTGGAAACTGTGGGCGCTATCACTGTGAAATTCAGTATGTATTTAAAAATTATAATTTTGTTAGGAATGAAGGTCATAGATTACTAAAAACCCTAGAAATGTCCTGCACACAGTAAAATGGTATATTTTTTTCAGATTTTCTTTGTTACATGATCTGAGCTGAACAGTATTTCACTACCTATGATAATATGTGTTCAGTGCCTATAATGCTAAAGCAACAGTGGCCATGCAGATAAGCTTCATTTATGGTTGTAATGAGCTAGACATTGTGTTTGGCAGTTTATATACAGCAGATACAGATTAAAAATATGTATTTACATACATCAAATTTGTGCAGCAATAATTACTTATCCCATTTTATCTATGAAAAATTAAAGATCAAGGATCATTTGCTCAGATTTCAGAAGCTAGTATAGGGAGAAAAGAACAGTCAGAGCCTAACAATTGTTAATTTTTCACTTGGTAAATTGCCTCATAAAACAAAGGAGTGCTGTAAGTCATTGCTAAAAAATTTAGTGAGAGAAAATAATTGAGATATGGATTTAAATTAGTAAAGCTTTCTTTTCAATGTAGCTGTCTGCTCAGTTAAAGAGTAAACATTTTCATATTAGGTAGAAACTAAAATAGCAAACAATATAGGAGAAATAGACAGAGGGACATAGCTGCTTACTTTCTTAACAATGCAGAACCAGTGTTATTAACTTATGTTATGAGCTATCTGTTATTTTAATGAATGATAATTTTTCCTTGTGTTTCTAGACATGCTTTATGTGGAAAATTAGTTTGTACATGGCCACACAAAACATTAATATCACGTGAAAATTTGTCTGTGATTTACACACATGTTCGAGATGACATATGTGTAGCTGGAGCTAAAACTGACGGGAAGATAATTAGGACAACATCATTTACTACATACCTTGAACCTACCGACAGAGATGAAACATTTGTAGAAGATGGTACCATCTGTGGTCCTGGCATGGTAACTACATAAGTTCAAGCTTTTAAAAAATTTTTTAAGGTTATTTTCATTTTGATACTACATCAACCAATATATCTTTCTCAATATTTTTATTCTGGTAAAATGCACATAACAAAAATTCCCATCTTAACCATTTTGAAGTGTGTAATTCAGTAATGTTAAATATATTCATAATGTTGTGCAACCATCACCATCATGCTTCCTCATAACTCTTTTTGTCTTGTAAAACTAAAACACTACCCTTGAACAATAGCTCCCTAATTCCTCCCTTCACCAGTCCTGGAAGCTATCCTATTGCACTCTGATTCTATCAATTTCACTACGGTAGGTATATCACATAAGTACAGTTATACAGTATTTGTCTTTTGATTTCTTTCAGTTAGCAAAGGTCCTCAAGGTTCATCTCAATTGTAGCATGTCAGAATTTCCATTTTAAGGCTAAATAATATTCCATTGTATGTATATGTCACATTTTGCTTACCCATTGATCTGTCAGTGGATATTTGGAATGATTACATATTTTAGCCTGGTCAAGTAATGCCACTATGAACATGGTAATACAAATAGTACAAATATATCTTCAACACCTTGCTTTCAATTATTTTTTGGTACATACTCAGAAGTGGAATTTCTGGGTCATATGGCAGTTCTATTTTATGTTTTTGAGAAAGTGCCATATTTTTTTCACTAGTGGCTGTATCATTTTTCATTGACAATAACATTTCATAAGGTTTACAATTTCTTCACATTTCCACTAACAGTATTTTCTGTTTGTGTGTTTTTTAATTTTAAATAGCATGTATCCTGGTGGCTAGGAAGTTGTCTCATTGCAGTTTTGATTTACATTTTCCTAATGATTACTGATGTGGAACATCTTTTTTTTTTTGTACTGGGGATAGAGCTCGTGTCCTTGTGCTTGTGGGGCAGGCAGCAGAACCACTGAGCTAAATCCCCAGCTGTGGAACATCATTTAATGTGCTGATTGGCCATTTGAATCTTATTTGTGGTTTACTGTGCCTTCCTTGTCATATCCAAGAAATCACTGGAAAATCCAATGTTGGGAAGATTTTGCCCTGAATTTTCAAGAGTATTATAGTTTTAAGCCCTTATGTTTAGATCTAAAATTAATTTTCAGTTAATTTTTGTACATGATACTAAATAAGAGTCCAACTCCATTCTTTTGACTACAGCAGCATTTGTTGAAGAGACTGTCCTTTATTCATGGAATGGTTTTGGTGACTGTGTGAGGTTATTTGAACACATAACAAGAGTATTTTTGGGCTACCTATCACATTTCATTTGTAGTTTGTCTGTATGCTAGTACTACATTGTTTTCACTACTGTAGCTTTGTGCTAAGTTTTGAAATCAAGAAGTGCTGAGTCCTCCAGATTTCTTCCTCCTTGTGTAAGATTGTCTGATGATTTGGGGTCCCTTGACTTTCCATATAAATTTTACTGCTAATTTCTACAAAAACATCATTGATATTTTGATGGAGATTGCAAGAATCTGTAGCTCACTTTTGAGTAGTACGAACAACTTAGTACTATTAGTCTTCAAATTCAGTTACATGAAATGTGATTCCATTTATTTATGTCATCTTTAACAGTGTCTTATGGTTTTCATCATTTTACAAGATTTTCACCTTGTTAAGGTGAAGTATTTTCCTTTTGATATAATAGATTGAGCTGTAGGCTTACTGTTCTTTTCAGATACTTCATTGTTAGTAAATAAAAATGGAACTGAGTTTTGTGTGGTTTTTTTAATTCTGATTCTTTGCTGAATTCATTCATTAGTTTTAATAGCTTTGTTTGGATGTGTGTTTTAGGATATTTTCCACATATAGATTTGTGAGCTGTAAAAACTGCTAGTTTTACTCTCCAATTTAGTATGCGATTTGTTCTTTTTCTCTCTTAATTTCTAGAAATACACATCATTGAGTAGATGTGGTAAAACCTGGCATCTTTGTTTTCCTCTTAATTTTAGAGGAAAATATTTAATGTGTTTACATCACCTAATATGACATTCACTGTGAGCGTTCCTTATGTGAATTTTATGTTTTTGAATGGTTTTTCTATTCCTATTTGTTGAATGTTTTTCTTGTGAATTTTATTGAGCACCCCTTTTCCATCTGTTATTTCTCCATTCCGTTAATGTGGCATATTGCATCAATTAAATTTTGTATGTTTAATCATCCTTACATTCCAGAATAAAATTTAGTCATGGTGCATAATGCTTTTAATATGCTGTGGCTGAATTTGGTTTGTTAATATTTTGGTACGCAGTTTTGCATTACATTTTTTTTCTTCCATTAAGTTTATTGGTACATTTTAAGTATACAGTACAGTTACATTCATCATTGGGAACTTGTGCCTTTACATGATGTATCTTGGTTCTTATTTTTTCCCCATTCCCTGGCCCTCCCTTCAAGCCCTCCATCACTCCCTATTTACAAAGACTTTGTTTCCATTCTTACCTTTTCTCATATTTTTTCCTTTCCCTTCTTTCCTTTCCCCTACCCCTCCCACTTCCCCAACTCCTTTAGACCTTTTCTTCCTATTTCACATTATCAATTATTCATTCTGATCCTTATTTACACTTTCAGTTTCTAACACCAGAGCAACTATTTGGTATTTACACATGTGTGTCCTTTCATTACTTTTTAAAATAAAGTTTCATAGTTTTCTTGTAAGGTATTTGTCTGGCTGTAGTATCAGGGTAGTGCTGGTTTCATAGAATAAGTTTAAAATGTTCCCTCATCTTCAGTTTTTTTGAAAATATGAGATGGATTGGTGGTATTTCTTTAAATAATTGGTAGAATTCTGTAAAGTGTGTTCAGAGTTTTTATTTGTAGGAAGATATTTTATTATAAATGTACTGTGCTTACCTAGTTATAGGTCTATTCTAATTTTCTATTTATTCATGATATATTCTTAGTGGATTTTATATTTCTAGGAATTTGTCTATTTTAACTGCACTATCAAGCTGGTTAGCATATGATTGTTCCTATACTCTCATAAACTTTTCTTATTTTTTGTACAATTGTTAACAGTCTTCTGACTTTAATTTCTGACTTTAATAATTTGAGTTTTCTTTTTATTAGTATTTCCAATGAATGATTTGTCAATTTTTCTATCTTTTCAAAGAAATAACTCTGATTTTATCTCTATTGTTATTCATTTTCTATTTTGTTTATCTTTGCTCCAATGTTTAGTTCTTTTCCCTTCTGCCTGCTTTGGGTATATTTTGCTATTCTTTCTCTAAACCTCTAAATTTAAAGTTTCATTGTTGATCTGAGATCTTTCTTACTTGTAATATAAGAATTATAGTCATAAATCCCCTCTAAGCACCACTTCCAGTGTATAAGTTTGGGCATGTGCATGTTGTGCTTATGACGTTTCCTTTGCTTCTATATATTTTCAAATTTTCCTTTTTTTTTTAAGAGTAGGAAAAGTTCATTGGGAGAAAGAAAGCTTCTGCCTAAGAGAGACAAAAGGAGCCCTGGAAAGTGGGTTGCCCACTCACCCCCGTTTTCAAGGATGTTTTATACAGCAAAGCCATGTGGTGAGGCAGGTACAAAGTGGGACAAAACTATAAGACCCAATGGAAATTTAAAGGTGGGCATGAGGTGGGGCAAAACCATGACCAACCAATAAGATTGTAAGTACAGTCACCCAAGTAATATTGATTAAATGGGGATCAAATGGGAAGACAAATCACATACAAGGAATTTACCATTTAGAATATCAATCACTGCTATCTATCTCTAGGGGAAGTAGTAATTCTCCTTTTGATAATGCTAACCAGTGAATGTTCCTCAATTTTACTCCATGTTGGCTCCTTGCTGTGTTGGCTCCTGGAGGGCTGGCACCTTAAGGGAGGCCCTGTATAACTGCCTACAAGATATCTAGTTACCTATCTACAATATTCCCCCCTAACTGCTGTGAGGAGGCAAAGGGTGAAGATCAATCTAGCTACTTCCGGCTGAAGAGGGTCATAGTTGTGATCAGCAGTCAGAATTATTCTACAGAGGGTCTATCTAAAGGCCTTTGATAGGTACCAGGCATTGTAATCTTGGGTAGCCTAATAGCTTTAAGTCTGGAGGAGACAAAACCAAAGAAACAGTTAAGAATACATGGGCCAAATTATAAAGTCAGCAGGATTGTTATGAATATAGCCAACAAGTGTTTCCACTGGGAGGAACTAGTAATAGCCTCCCACAAAGAGGATAAGAAGGTCCAGGGGACTTCAGAATACAACATAGAAGTCATATTGTATAGTTTAGCAGCTATAAGCTGTTTACAAGGTTGATCTGGTGGATCCCGGTAAAAGAAGTCTAGAACTTTTGTCATTGGTTCCACCTGTATCACTGTTTGGAGTTTTGCAGCCTCTAGGTAGGAATAAACAAAACTTAAGAAATTAGAGCATGCATAATCTAAGACTGAGCACACTAGAATGAAAGGGTAGGTTGGGGAGAAAGTCACACTTAGAAATTGAAATAGTGATTGTAACCTGCTGGCTCTTAAATTTTTTTATTGGTAAAAGTTATCTATAAGTGTGATACTTTGTCATAAGTCTCTATTTTAGCTGTAAGAAGAGATAATTTGGGGGCCGGGCATTTAGCTCCGTAGTTTGCTGCCTGCCTCGCAAGTTCAAGGTCCCGAGTTCAATCCCCAGTACCAAAAAAAAAAAAAAGAAGAGACAATTTGAAGAACTAATCTTGCTAAGAAATTTAAAACTCTAGCTGAGTTCATAGATTTTTACCGTAATTTTTTCCTAATGACCTACAATAGCAGGCAGCTATTGGTGTAGCTAGAAACTGCCAGAAGGGGTCAGTGATTAGAGCCCCTTTTTATATCTAGCTTTATTACTATGATATTATTTTATACCTCTTTTGGTTATTCTTTTCTGCTGGATGTTTAAGACCAAGTTAAAGTGAGACCTGTGTCAATCAGAATGAACCTCTTGCTATCTATCAAGGTCAGTTAAGTCTCCTCAGGCA